GCACACACACATACATGCACACACACACATACATGCACACACACATACATGCACACACACATGTGCACCAATGCCCCTGCACATGCACACGGGTGCCCCTGCACATGGATGCACGTGAAAATGGATGCTTTTTCCCATGGGTGCCCGTGGCCATGGATGCCCACACACGTGGCTGCACGTGCACACAGACACCCACGCACATGGATGCCCACACACATGAACACCCCTGCACACGGGTGCCCGCACACATGGGTGCCCACACACACGGGGGCCCACACACATGGACAACCCTGCACACGGGTACCCATGCACATGGATGCCCACACACAAGGATGCCTGTGCACATGGGTGCCCAGGCACACAAATGCCCATGCACACAGATGCCCACGTGCACGGATGCACGCACACACGGATGCACATGCACGTGGATATCCCTGCACACAGGTGCCCACACATGAGCATGCACATGCACACGGGTACCCATGTACATGGATGCCCACACCACACCCTGTTCCACCCGGGACTGGCCCCCACTCCGAGCGATGGACACAGTGCTCGGGAGCGCGGGAGCTGCCCGGCCCCCCCCGGGGTGCTGGGCACGGTGTATCCCCGCGTGTGGCCCCGCACAGCTCTCCCTGTCCCGGCCACCGCCCGGCCGGTGACCAGAGAGAGGGGACCTGGGCCTCGGGATCGCTTTGCTGGTCCCACAGCGACAGCTATAGGTGACCATCCGGGATGGGATGGGTCCAGCTCCGTGTCCAACCGCCCTGCCCGGCTCCGGCATCCTCGGCATCCAGACCCTGGCCCGGGCAGAGCCGGCAGTGAGTCCTCCCTCAGCCCCTCGGTGCCTGCGCAGGAGGGTCCCATCCCCACCGCTGGCAGAAGCAGGGGATTTGGGATAGCCCGGGAAAACCCCTCTCCGTGTCTCTCGCATCCCCGAACGCCGCAGGACCCCGCTGGCTCCGCTGCTTCCCCCAATCCCGGGTCTGCGGGAGGGGACACAGCCTGGGGACCCGTGGGTGCCCCTGGCATGGGGGGCTGGGGATGCTCCAAAGAGCATCGCCCTGCTCCCCACCCCCCAAAATCACCCATCTCCCCGCACCCAGGAGCAGAGACCACCTTAGGTGGGGACCCTCAGCGACGTGCTGGCTGCAGGGGTGGGCTTTGCTGAAGGGCTGGGGGGGCTGCTGAGGTTGTGTCGTGCTCCCCCTTCCCCCCAGTTGTTGAGAAAGGCTCCCACACGCCCCAGAAGAACAGCCAGGAGACGAGGTGGTACCCAAAAACATCACAGTGAACACCACACTCAGCAAGAAACACCGTGGCTGCTCCTGCGGCCGGGAGGGCCCCCCGGGGACCCCCCCGCGCTCGGCTCTGCCAAATGCCCCAGAAGAAAAATATTCCTCCCCCTGGAGAGGCAAAAAAAAATTCCCCCCTCCGAGTCTTGGCCCAGGGCGTGGGTGGGAATCGCCCCTTTGTCACGGCAGGTCCCCACCGTGTCCCCACCGTGTCCCCACCGCGCCCGCCGCTCCCCCGTGGTGGGGGTGGCACTCCAGGGTCTGGGTTGCGGCAGCACCGAGGAAATCCCAGCGGACTCCGGCCGTGCCAGGAAAGCTGGGCTGGTGCCCCGCAGCCCCCTCCTCCCTCCGCTGGTCAGCAAAGTCCCCCCGGGGCGGGGTTAGGATGTGTCCTTCAGCTCGGGGCTGGGCGGCTGCGGAGGGGGCACCTCCGCCGAGGGCGACTGCATCTCCTGGGCGCTGCCTGCAGGGAGAGAGGAGGGGATGGAGTTGTGGAATGAAGTCAGAGAACAGAATCACAGAATAGAGTCACAGAATAGAATCACAGAATCATTGAGACTGGAAAAGCCCTCCCAGCCCACGGAGTCCCCCCTGTGCTCCACCCCCGCCTTGTTCCCCAGCCCAGAGCACTGAGTGCCATGGCCAGGCCTTCCTGGGACACCTCCAGGGTGGGGACTCCAAACCTCCCTGGGCAGCTGTCGGGGATTGACAGAGAACCTGTCAGCAGCCTGGCACTTATCGACGAAGCAGTCGATGTTGACCAGATCAAAGTGTACCCCTGAGATGGACTGAAAGAGAGGACTGAGGCCCTGATCCTGACAATATACTGATGCATCCTGAAGAAGCTGTCCCGTGAGAACAGGAACATTGTCTCATGAGAACAGAGACCTGTTTTGAACGAGAGTGGTCGGGAAAAATATCAACATGAGAGAAAAATAAGAGCAGGTGCTCGGGACTGTTGTGGGAACCTTACAGGGCTGTTTTGAGAAAGAGTAAAGTTGTTATGAGAAAGTAGAGTTTAGAAAATGCACCTATTAGCTGTAAGAATTCTGGTGTGAGAGTTTGAACTGTCCTATCCACACACGTGTGGATTACGTGTGTTCAAAAACTGTACTTAAAGGGACTGCTAAGCAGCCCCGTGTGCTGTCTTTTTCCTGGAAATAAACTTTGTTGGAACCTTTTTTATGTCGCACGGCCGTTCCTACCGCGACAGGCAGCCCCTTCCAAGGCCTGACCACCTTTCCCAGGAAGAAATTCCTCCTCATGTCCAACCTGAGCCTCCCCTGGCACAGCTGGAGGCCGTTCCCTCTTCTCCTGTCCCTTGTTCCCTGGGAGCAGAGCCCGACCCCCCCCAGCTCCCCCCTCCTGTCAGGGAGTTGCAGAGCCAGAAGGTCCCCCCTGAGCCTCCTTTTCTCCAGGCTGAGCCCTCCCAGCTCCCTCAGCTTCTCCTGCTGCTCCAGACCCTTCCCCAGCTCTGGTCCCTTCCCTGGACATGCTCCAGCCCCTCCATGTCGTGAGGAGCCAGAACACTAGATGAGCATGGGAACCCCAGTTCCTGCCCGCTCTATGTCACCCTCCATC